AAAAGTTAACCATCAATTCGTTATCACCTTGTGCGATCGAGGGTTAATATATCTCTTTTTAAGCTCTACTGGTAGATTGCAAGAAGGCATAAATATGTTACTAACCGAAGCCTTTTACAAAATTAAAAAAATAAGTAGTAGTTGAGACAGAATAAATAAAGACTTTAAAATTAGCCAATTAATCTGAATTTGAATAGGCGCCATTGGAAGCAATAAAATAATTTCATTAAATACAAGAAATAAGACGGTATATGGAAAATTTTTAATCACGCATAGGTACAATTAATGACTTAAATCGGAATTGTTGAATTCGCTCTCTGGTGCAATAATTCACCTCGATTGTGCTCGTCCCTCCCACCACGATGTTTTCGAATGTGAAGCGTAAATTTTGATTTTACTAAATATCTTCTTGCAGCAATGTTTGGGGCGACAACAGCTACAGCATTTGGGCAAAGTGGGTTTTATTTCCGTTTTATTTCTTAATAGCTCCCTTCGGCACAACTTTATTTGGAGCCTCAACGACTCAAGCCCAACCTCAGGCTAGCATATTTGGCCAGTCCAGTCAGAGTGTTGCTCCTGGACTTGGCTTATCTGGTCAAGTAAATACAGTTTTCAATGCTACTTCTTCAGTGGGCACCTCTATACCGTTTAACCCACCTATATCATCAGAGACTGCCCAACGCAATGGGCAATCTCAACAAGTCAACACCAAGCATGTATGCATAACAGCTATGAAGGAATATCAAGATAAAAGCCTTGAGGTAACCACTTTATCTGGCTTATTAAATAATTAGGAATTGCGATTGGAAGATTACGGACTTAATTTGCGACCGGGAACTCAACAAGGTGCTGCGATAGTATCCTTATTTGGTGGCCCCACAGGCACGGCCACGAATAAGCCATTTGGGTTTGGTGCCACTTCAGTTGCGCCCACTGCTAGTTTGTTTGGTGCCGCCACTACCACAACTCAGAGTGGTAGTATATTTGGTGGCAGTTCACTTTTCAGTGGAGTAGCGGCAACGACCCAAAGTAAATTCCACACCTTTGCTTAAATGCATTTGGCTACAGGTTCTGTATTTGGTAACAAGCCACTCTTTGGCTCTCCTATGACGAGTCAGGCTTCGGGGACAAGTATATTTGGTGCTACCACCAGTCCAGCGGCCCAAACGGGTACATTTGGAGCTTTTGGGCAGACAAATTCTGTTTTTGGAACGAAGCCACTTTTTGGTGCAACTGCTACTACATCTGGTAGTATATTTGGAGCTCAAACAACCACTTCTCCTGCGTTTGCATTCGGACAGACGCAACCACAGCAGCCGAATTTGTTTGGATCACCTACCGCCTCTGCAAAACCAAATCTCCTTTTTGGAGGAGCACAAGCTAATACTGGTTTAGGATTTGGAGCTACTGGCGCAAGTTTTATTTAACTAACGCTTACCTAAAATAAACTGTCTATGATTTAGCTTATCTAATTTGTCATTTGTAAGAATTTTTGATAAGCTGTTTTTTCTTGCACTCTGGATGTTTTACAAGCCAGATATTTGTTTTTGGCTCTAAATCTTCTTTTTCATACTTTAACATACATTGGCATTTTCGTGGTCTCTATCCTTTATAAAAGATAGACGGCTAGTGTTTCAACTGGACTTTTTGCAGCAAAGCCTCCTACATCCGCGGCCACTGGTCTTTTTGGCTCACCAGCTACTTCCAACACGGGCTTCATTTTTGGTGCTCCAAAGCCAGCGGCATCAACTGGCTTGTTTGGTGCTGCCCCCGCTACTAGTACAACAGCTAAGCCAGGAGGCATGTTTTCTTTCGGCCCGACACCTGGTATGCTAAATTTGCTCTTTTATCTTTTATTCATGGTTCTAATATTTTTTTATTATTTAGCTACTTCAGGCTTTTCTGGATTCGCGACCACCATTTCTCAGGCCTCTACTGGTGTGTCGCCTTTTGCAGGTTTTGCTGCAACAAATCCTGCGGGATCCAGCTTATTTGGCCAACAGTCAGTTATTAATAATAAAAAGCCACTTTTTGGAACTGGCACGGCTCAACCAGTTGCCACAGGATGCGGACTTTTTGGAACCAGCACTATTTCTGGTGCTGGAGGGGCGCTTGGCTCAACTACTGGCTTCGGTACGGGCCTTTTTGGCTCATCTGCAGCGGGAGCTCAGGCTACAGGTTTTGGATTTGGTGGCCCCCAGGTCGGCCAGGTTTCCTTATCTGGAGCGGGGCTCCTAGGGAACACCGGGTTGCAGAATTCAGCCGGATTCGGCTTGGGAATGAATACCAATCCGTCTACTGGCGGTTCACTTTTAGGGGGAGGACTAAAAGCTGGATTTGGATCTGGATTAACTGGAACTGGTCTTCTAGGCTCAACTCTCGGTTCTGGTTCCATCGGTGGTGTCGGGGGCAGTTTTTTTGGCTCGGGTGTCAATCAAACAAATCAAAATGTCTTTGGAACCGGATTTGGCGTAATTATTTTTCTGTTTGAGCTAACTATATTCCTCTATATCCTTGATAATTTGATACGGCTTCATTATTTCTAAGAATGAGAATCCACCATGAAAATTAAATCTAGGAGATGGTACTTGTTTGACAGTATAAACCGCTGCCTATAGAGCACTACCTGTTCCCTTGAGATCGTTACTTTATATTTTTGGTAATATTATTTTTTTAATTAATTAATACTGCTCTTAATGTACTTAGTATTTCTTAATAATTCAAGGTTGATCTTTTACTTCCATTGG